TGCAGGATCTTGGGCGAAGGTGCGAGGGGCTTTGAAGGGAGAGGGTGCTGATGCAAGACGCTAATGCACTTAATAAAACTTGGCAACAGCACTCTACTTCTTACTCTTACCTGTAGTATTGGAGAAGTTTAAGAGGTGGGAATGCATACAAATCACCTCAGACCTCTTGAAAGTAGTGGTAGTCTGGAGAAGCTTCATCAGAGCTCTAGAGTCTGCCTCATCTGCCACACAGCACGATCTGCGTTGGATCAGATGTTGCTTAGAAGTGTCTATGTGACTTGACACAGATGTTATGGAAGCATTTGGAACAGGGCATCAAAAGTGGAGGGGTTAAAGCATAATTTTGGATGAGAAGCCTGCATCATGTTAATATTACATTCCAAAGTAGTGAAGAGGCACAGCTGATGTTTTAAATTAATGTGTGTGTTCTGGAATCATTTTTTTCATCCACATTTGCATGCATCCACTTGTGCTTTGATAAATAGCACTCATCCAGCAGAAAGAGCAGGTTTATTTAATGAAGCAAATCAGCAGGGGAAATTGAGGGGAAGATGGATTATTGATGATTCCCTTCCCTAATGTCCCCATATCTCCTTATTTGAAAGGTGAGGGAGGTCTAGCAAGGGTATTTTGCCACTGTGGCTACGCTCATTAGAAGCATTGATTTTCATTGAGGAAGGATGTCTCGTTTCTTCTGCTTTTCAGTCAGGGCTTAGTGTATAAGTGTCTCTTGGGTGGTAGCCGATTTGTTGATCGACTGACTTGTCTAACACTGAAGAGATCCAGATCAGGAATTTGGAAACTCATTTTCAAAGCATAGAAGATCTTTCTCTGATACAGCTAAGGTGTGTGAACTATGCTGAGGTATTCATATAGTGAATGCCAGGCACTTCTTTTGCCATGGGAAAAACTTGTCCTGGTTCATGCTCTAACTGCTGCATTGTGGGCAGTGATGAGCTTACCTCATAGTAAACTAAATGTCTTGGTCTTCACTTTGTTTGCTTTGAATGACAGTGCTCATTAGTTGCTAAAAAAAACCAACAAAAAAACCCTGTCGTCTTGGTTGTGAAAACCTATTAGGCCATCTATCCATGGCAATAGTGTTTTAACTGTGTAATCTGACCTACATGCTGTCAGCAGGGACATTTAATGAAGTCTGTGGTCAGCATGCTACATTGAAGTTCACCATGATTAGGTTAACAGTGCAAGTGTTCAACAAAAAAAGGGGGGAAGCTGTATGAGAGTTGAATTTTCTTCAAAAGAGGCTGGAACCCCTTTTCAGTCTGCTGTGTTTCTGCTTTGTCCAGGTTTCGAGGGAAGCGTCTGTGGGCACAATGTTGATGACTGCCCAAATCACAACTGCCAAAATGGGGGTATATGTGTGGATGGTGTGAACACATACAACTGCCGCTGCCCACCGCAATGGACAGGTACGTACTACGGAAAACAAATGCAGGACTTCTGGCCTTCAGCCAGTGTACAACTGGAGTTGCATACAACTGAAGACTGCTCCTGTCTGTGCCTTGTTCTGCAGTCTGGCGGGCAGACGTCAGTGGAACTCTTTAAAGAAAACTGCTTGTATCAAAGCCACCATAATGGAAGGCAATTTCCCATTGCATCAGGAAGTATTAGAGGTTTATGTGCATATGTGTCTGACAGACGGGTACCATGGTTCATGAGATGCAGTGCAGTGCCAATATCAGAGCTGTGCTTCTTGTTTGGATTGCTTTGTAAGAGAGTATGAGTTTTCCAAAAGTACAAAAACATGGCTTTGCTGTTACAGGGATGTGCATATAGCTGTGCTTTGTTGATATATTTGGGGGTACTTTTAACCTGGGGTAATGATCCTCATGTAGATAATAGTAATGCTGCTGAGGAACAGGGCAAATCTGAAAGGAAACATAAGTGGGAGAAAGGGAGGGAAGAGAAGTGTATGTATGGGAAGCTTCATGTTTTTGCTACGGTTGTTTTCCTGCTGTGACTAATTTTTATCTAGAGTTCTCTGACTAGCACAGCTACTTCAGCTTCATAAATGAGTCTGCTTTACTCTGAGTCTGTAGGGGAGAAAAGTGTAAATTTCAAGAAAGTGTTATGCATGATATAAAGAAGCCACTTACAGGAAATTCAGTGTCATATTTAGTCACAAAATGTCTCCATACCTCAAAAATAAACAAATACCTTCAGTTTTGGGGAAGGTTTTTTTGAGTCATAGTAGGTGTTCTTAGCTGGCACACTTTTTCAGTTGCGTATAATTTTGCCCTTCTTTCAAAAATCGTAGGTAAAAAAAAAAACAAAACAACAAACCAGCCCTAAAACTGGAAAACTGAGGTATGAACTCAATTTTCATTTTTCCTTTCATAAAGTAGATGGGGGTACTTGTTCTGGAACTAAGCTTGAACTGCCTTCTCAGGTTCCAAAGAAACTTTAGCACATTTTTCTCTGTATCTAGGAAATACAATTTTTGAAACCTGAATATCTTGCAGTGAGTGGCACTACAAGTGTAGTTCAGACAAATACACTGTGAGGAGTTTGACTACTGGAGACAGAGGTTTTATGTTATTCTAGCTTTTTTCCTCGGCGAGCATCATTTTCATTATAAACCAGTTGTCACTAATTGCGAAGAAGGCTGCCAGTTAAGAGCCCTCATTAACTTAAAAAAATTATATGTTCTTAAGCGAAGCTAAAATCATGTAAGAGTGAAATTCACCACTTGCTTGCTCTTTGAAACAAAATGTAAATAAGAGAAAATGAGTCCTCTCCTTAATGATCAAGTACCTTTGCTTCTATACTGCTTCTGTATCTGTATGTCTTTAAAGCCTGCAGAAAGTGAAACCTGCAAAGGAAAACAGAGAGCTTGGTTGTGGAGCCAACAGCCCTTCAGTGACCCCTAAAATCTTGCTTCATGCCACAGAATTTATAAACTGTCAGTAATAAATTAATCTCAGGCTTATTCCTGAAGCATAGAGGATGTGATGGATCATGAGCATGTACTATGTATTAAATCTGCAAGGGATTATTTTTCTTTGTAGAGGTATCATAAGCTTAGCTTGTCTTATAGGGTTTGGGTGGATAACTGCTGTCAGATAAGGATGAGTGCTGCAACTCACCTGGAAGAGACCTCGGTGGTAATAGACTGTGATTCTGTTTGTTTCTGTGGTGGATTGTCTCTTTGATTAACCACTGAAGTTCTTTGCAATGCAGTTGTGGCAGTTCCCTCTCTGAAGCTCTTATGGACTCTGATTAGCATTGGGAGAAATAGTTAGACCTGTGTTGTGCCATTTTATTCTGTATGGACAGTCTCTTCAGAAAACCTTAATTGCATGAAGGATGCTTCTCTTTGATGAAGACCTGGAAAGACAGCTAAGTCTTGTGTTCTCATGGCTTTCTAAAACAATTTAATGGAATGGGCTTTCTGAGAATTTCCTTTGATTATGGTGAAGTTAAGGTTATCATCACAGCAGTAGTTTTAGGTGACGGCTTCTCAAGGCCATTGATTTTTTCTAGACTTATGAATCAGGTCAGTTTGGAACTAACCCTTGTTTCACTTTTTAGGAAACAGCAGCTTGGCTGTTTGTGCAATGAGAGTTAGAGCATTTGGGGAACTGAACTGTCTTGTTTGAAATGAACAGTGCTGGTTTCAGTGTTCCTACTAAAACATGAGTAACTTCAGAAGTAGCTATGTATGTCCATACTGACCAGTGTTTGACACACGTAGGGCAGTAGCTCTGTGCATCTGTAGGATCTATTAGTTATAGCCATTCCATTGCCTGTGCAGTGAAACGATATTGGCCAGCTTGCTTTTAAAAATGCATTTATTGTATCTGTAATATTCCACTTGCCTAATAAATGTGTGTACAGTTGACATCCCATGATGCCCCAAAGTCCTGTCCAGCTCCACAGTGAATGCAGCCATGTGGTGTGAGTGGAGAAATGTCTTGCAAGTCATTTGAATGCCTCTTGTTCTCATGTCCTGCAGGTCATCCCAGCAGTTACTCTGCTCTGTCATCTCAGTAACATTTTCTTAGGAGGATCTTCTTTCTCTGAATAGACTTCAATCCCTTTCCTGCATCTTCAATTAGACACCAAGAAAGTGCATGATAACAGTACACATCCAGCTTGGAGATATGAGGGGTGACACTGAGGCAGGGCATAAAACAGGGAGGATAGATGGGGAACTGCTAGAATAGTTTGGAGACAGATATGACTTTTTTCAAGGTGAAACTGCAGCTGATGCTGACAGGAGTAAACTACAATAAAAAAAATGAATTACTCAGCAATAAGGAAATGTTGTATAAATGCAGGCCCGTCCTTTGCATGAACGTGGTTATAGCATTATAAATCATCTCTAAGGTAAGTGAAGAGGGAAGAGCTGAGCAAATAAATCTTTCCAAGTATCTCCTGATAAATGCTTATAGCACAACAGTGTCAAACTGTGAGAGCGAATACTTCAGGAAATCAAAAGTTTCCAGTGAGACCTTGAGGTTAGGGGACATTGTGTGCTGCTTGGGGAGGGAAAAAAAAAAAAAGGCCAAATGCGCATGTTTCTGAGTAAACATCAGCCAAAAATGAAAGGATGTTAAATTTTCTAAAAATAGTTGACAGTGTAGATGTGCTGCCTTCATAACATTTCCACAGTCTCTTCTTTGATATACTTACTTGTCAAATAATCTTGGAGAAGTTTAAATTGGTCTGTTTGCAATTTCAGTCTTTATTTGATCTTTGTGCTGTGGGTGATGATCTAGCATGTTTTTTAGTACAGTTTGTGCTTCATGGCATAGAGAAACCAGTTCCATTCCTTGCTAGGAAAATCAAGAGACTGTACAGCATCCGATGAAGAAAAGTTTTGTGTAAAATAATATTGAAGCATCCTTTACTGAAACAGAGTATGTCCTAACTCCTTTTGGTAACCACCTGCCTCTTGGAATTCCCTGACAGGTGGTGGGCTGGACAGCAGAACTATGCATTTAAAAAAAAAAAATACTTTTTCTGCTTGCCACTAGAATCTAGCTTTGGAGACACTGTTTTCTTTCAGCCTGATTTCCTGTCCTCAGACAGAGCTCACCTCTCCTTTCTTGTTGAAAAGCTTGCCTTCTCTTTCTCATTTTGCTGCTTTTTCTGGAAAGATAAAATCTTACCTTTCAGTAACAATGATGAGAAATTCC